AGGAGTTGGACATGGGGTTAGTTAGGTAAGATGTTAGACAATTTTAAACTGTTTTAAGATTCTAATGTTTCTTCATTTGTTCTAGGACTTGCAGGGTATTCTTAACATATTCAAATGAAAACACTAAATGATGCTTGGTGGTCAGAATGTGTATATTGTTCTGTCTACAATTTGAGTGTTGATTGTTTATAACCTACCTCCTAAATTAGGTAGATTTACAAGATTAAGATTTTTATCCATGGTGCTTTTGTGGGGAATGTCTCTCAACTAAGAAGGATCTCCTCTTTTATTGTAGTGTTAGTTAAACCTTTAATTTTATCCTTTTTGTCATTTGTCTTCACAGCTCTGGTAAGTTACTATGGCCTTTATTCTTCCAGCCTGCCCAGTTGGAGTGTGTAGGCCTGCAAACAGGAAGTTGTGTGTATTCTGACACATACAGACCTGGCTGGATCACCAGCTCTGTGTTTTAAAGTTTACCTGGCTGTTGTTTCAGTTTGTTGCTAGGGAATGTTATCTTTCCTATGGTGAAATAAGAATTTGTTTCTTATTATTTAGAGTAGGTAGGGTTTCTCTATTTTTGATAATTATATTACACTGGTAAGTCTTTTTGGCAAGGGCTCATGTTTATTCACTATAGTATTTGACTGTATTTAAACTTTGGGTGTTTTCAGATTACCTTTTAGCATTAAGATTCATTCTAAAAGATCTCTTTATTTTACTGGAGGATGAAAATTATTTTTGGAATTTTGAGTTTTAAGGCTTTTTTTTTTTTTTGTCTCCACAGTAGTAAATGGTACTAGTTTACTGTTTTTCAAGTTATCTTAAGATTTGTTTTTAGGGGCGCCTGGGTGGCTCAGTTGGTTAAGCGTCTGCCTTCGGCTCAGGTCATGATCCCAGGGTACTGGTATCGAGCCCCACATTGGGCTCTCTGCTCGGCGGGAAGCCTGCTTCTCCCTCTCCTACTCCCCCTGCTTGTGTTCCTCCCCCCCCCGTCAATTAAATAAATAAAATCTTAGAAAAAAAATTTGTTTTTAGTAACTTATGACAAATAGTACCTGTTTTCAGTGAGGCTGCTTCTAGAATTCACTAGAATGCTCCTTGGAGGGCAGGAATGTACTTGTGTACTGCTGTAGCCCTAGAACCTAGAACAGTAGCTGGCACGTGGTAAGGGTTCAGTGAATACTTGCTGAGTGAATGTATAAGTGTATTTTATGGAACTTACCAGTATTCTTTATGATACAGTAATAAACTTCTTAACTTCAAGTTTTACCTGTTATCCTTTTTTTCTTTAAAAAATTTATTTATTTATTTTTTTAAGATTGATTTATTTTAGAAAGAGAGAATGCACACGAGTGGGGGAGGGGCAGAGGGAGAGAATCTTATGCAGGCTCCCTGCAGGAGCCTGACTTGGGGCTGGATCTCATGATGCATGAGATCATGACCTGAGCCAAACCAAGAGTCAGACCCCCTCAGACACCTGAGCCACCCAGGTGCTCCTCTTTCATCCTTTTATTGACCAATCAGTTTAGTGATTTTTAAACATTTTGTTAACAGGGTAAACCAAGAAAAGATGATATATAGTCAATAGATTTTTTTTTTTAATTAGTTTTTTTTTTTTTTGAGGCATAAGTTCTTTTTAAAATTTTTGAGAGGGTAAAATTAACAAACGTGTTAGCTTGTGATTTTGGTCATACATACTTTTTAAAATTTATTTTTACTGTCTTGTCTGTGTAATTGTTTTTAGGAATAATAAAAGGGACATATTTCTTCCTTATCTCTCACGCATGCTCAAAAGGAAATAATACATTAAAGCTTAGTAATTAAAATTTTTTATGTGTTCATTTATTGAACAAATACTTTGAGTGCCTACTATAGGCCAGGCATTATTCTATGTCCTGGAATACTGTTCTGTGTTTTGAGGAAAAAATAAAAAACAGACAAAACTTCCTTCCTTATGGAACTTATATTCTCTTAGAGGAGATAGAGAAATAAGACAAGTAAAATGTAGAAGAAAAATCGATTTCTCTAACAGGGTGGATTCTTTTAAGTTATTTGTATAGGTTGGACCTTTCAAGAGTAATCAGTTTAAGTACCGCTTTGGCATTGTTAGGGGAATGAGAAGCCACATGTGAGAGCCTAAAATGGGGTAAGACACTTTGGTAGGAGCAATTTGGTAAACAGATGGAATTTATAGTGTGTGCTCTTAAGACTTAGACAAGAAATGCAGTGCAAATGCAGGTGTAAAGATAACCTGTAGTGTCAACAATATTTTTTAGGAATTCAGAAAACTTGGAGTTTCTTGAGTGCTGGCCCAGTCCAGGCAGAGAACAGGTGGAAGGAACAAAGGTATAGATAGGCTAAACAACATACATACTTGGAATAGTGACCTTTTTGGTATGGTAGAAACAGGAAGAGTGTGTGTATGTGGTGTGTTAGGGGGACTATATGGTATAAAAGGAGCAGAGGTAGGAAAAGTAAATTGAAGGTGGGTTGTATGCAACAGATCTCTAGATGGTTCTGTAGGTAAATGGAGAACTGCAGGTGACTTTTTTTTAAGGTTTTATTTATTTGAGAGAGAGAGTGGGGTGGAGTGGCGGAGGGAGAGAATCTTCAAGACTACCTGCTGAGCGCGGAGCCTGACTCAAGGCTCAATCTCACCACCCATGAGATCATGACCTGAGTTGAAACCAAGAGTCTGGTGCTTAACTGACTGAGCCATCTAGGCACCCCCACAGATGACTTTTAGGACAGTAGCATGATTCCATTTCTTGTTGAGAAAATTAAGTGACTATGGGTGGATGGGTTGGAGAGTATAGCATGGAGGTGCAGGAATACCTTTTTAGAGCATCCAAAATATAGTCCGGGGCAAGACCACTGTTGTGCTTATTTAGGGGGTACCATTATTCCTCTAATCACTGTGAAGGGTCCCTCCTGAAGCACAATCCTTAGTATATAGTGTGAATGGAGTCGTGCCATGAGGCAGCTTTGTCACCAATAGAGAGATGAGGGGGCCTTAAGTTGTAAGATACTGAAAGGTGAAGAAGAGTGCAAGAGAATTTTGTAATTGATAACACTGGTAACCTACTGGGGATGGGAGTTTTGTGGAATAATTATCGTTATAGATGGTTTGAAGTTTAAGGCTGATCTTCACATTAGGTGTCCACTTTTTTTCCCACCTTAAATCTGCTTTTCACAAATTGCTTCATTCCCTCATTGAGCCTACCTTAAACATCTTTACTCATAATGTGAGCTTTGTTATCTGTTTTGGACTATGTGTCTAAGCTTATTAGTATTTCTGAAACAAAGGAATTTTTCCTGTGGGCTACTTTGAGTAAAGGGTGTGTGGGCTAAAGTATAGGGGTCTTGATATCTGTCAAACTACTCATTATGTTCCAGATAAACTATCTTATGGTATATTAATTTTATATTATTTCACAATATTTAATTATAACTATTTGGCCCTGTGGTTTTATTTATTTTATTAACATAATGTATTACTTGTTTCAGAGTACGTGTCTGATTCGTCAGTCTTACACAATTCACAGTGCTCACCATAGCACGTACCATCCCCAATGTCCATCACCCAGCCACCCCATCCCTTCCACCCGCCTCCACTCCAGCAGCCCTCAGTTTGTTTCCTGAGATGAAGAGTCTCTTACGGTTTGTCTCCCCCTCCAGTTTCATCTTGTTTCATTTTTCCCTCTCTTCCCGTATGATCTTCTGTCCTGTTTCTCAAATTCCTCATACCAGTGAAATCCAGTGATAATTGTCTTTCTCTGATTGACTTATTTCGCTTAGCATAATACCCTCTAGTTCATCCACGTCGTTGCAAATGGCATGGTTTCATTTTTTTGATGGCTGCATAATGTTCTCTTATAGATACATACATCACATCTTTATCCATTCATCTGTTGATGGACATCTAGGTTCTTTCCATAGTTTGGCTATTGTAGACATTGCTGCTATAAACATTGGGGTGCACGTGCTCCTTCGGTTCACTATGTTTGTATCTTTGGGGTAAATACCCAGTAGTGTAATTGCTGGGTCATAGGGTAGCTCTATTTTCAACTTTTTGAGGAACCCCCATACTGTTTTCCAGAGTGGCTGCACCAGCTTGCATTCCCACTGGCCCTGTGGTTTTAGTTAGAACATTTTATTACGGAAATTTTAACTTACCCAAAGATAGGATAGTATGATGAACCCCAATATATGTATCAACATTTTGTTGGTTTTGTTTCATCTGTATACCTCCCTGCCCTTTTATTTTTTGCTGGAATATTTTAAAGCATATGCCAGGTATATTTTTTCACCGTAAATACTTGAGTATTTAACAGTTAAGAACTCTGTTATTGTTAGTATTACCCACAATACTGTTATCACACCAAGCAATCATTTTTACTGTGATTTAGTACGGCCTAGTAAAGTACCATGTCTGGGTTCAGATTTCCCTTTTGATTTTGAAAAAAAGCCTTTTTTTTTTTTAACCAATTGGATTGTTTGAATCAGGTTCCAAGCAAGTGTTGTGGTTATTTTTAAACTTGATATTTTTTAAAGAGAAAATTAAGGCAGTGTGAAAACATTTTAGTATAAGCTATTCTAAGAGAGCAGTGCTCTTCTGACAGCCATTCTTTCTGGAACTTTGTTTTGCTTATCTGTACGAGGAGATGTCACAATAGCTGGTATCTACTTTTTAGGATTTTTAAACATAGGAAATCTTCAAAATGGGAAAGTGGGTATGACCTCACCTATCTAGAAGCCGAAAGAGTGAAAATGTGAGATTTGAGAAGGTTCGGTTTGTAAGGGACTACAACTCTAAGACAAAGCACCTCAGATGGGACTTGGGATTGCTTTTTTAACTATTTGTGTAATGTTACCATGTATTTTATCTTGCTGGACTTAACCTGCCTCACCTGTAAAATAAAGAATGGGTGATTTCTTACACTTCTCCTTAGTTCTTAATTTTTTGTGTTTTATTTTACATTTATGCTTGACTTTGACAGGATTCCCAAAGTTGGATTGGTGGAAACAATGAACCGTTGACTGGCTTTACATGGCGAGGTGGTTGTGAAAGAGAAACAACAGGCATACAAGTCTGGAATGAAGTATTTGTGATTGACAGACCTAATGGAACAAAAGTAAAATTCTGTTTATACTTTCTTACTGTTTTTTTTCTTCCATATTCTTTTTTGAGCTGTTTCCTGGTATTAAAGAGCAAAATAGCACAGAACTATTAATGTCTGATAACTTCAACATATATGAATTATTATGTCAAAATGTGTGAGATATTTAGCTTAGAGTACTTTTCTTAATTACTGATTTTGACATTTATCATTTTAAATTTGGTTTTAATAGTCACTATTGGTGAATATTTTACTTAGTATTTTAAACTTTTAAACTCCTAGGTGGCTGTGCTGCTAATGGATACCCAGGGTGCCTTCGATAGCCAGTCAACTATCAAAGACTGTGCAACGGTGTTCGCTCTGAGCACCATGACTAGCTCTGTCCAGGTGAGACATGAAATGCTGTGGTATGATCAGTTCAGATAATCCTAATACCTTTGCTCTTTCTTAAAATGCTTTTTGAAAACAAAACAGGTAACATAGGGTAAAGGGAGGGGAGGGAAGCAAACTGAACTGTAAGACTCAACTATAGAAAACAAACAGGGTTGCTGGAGGGGAGGGGGTGGGGGATGGGCTAAATAGGTGATGGAGATTAAGGAGGGCTCTTGTTGAGCGCTGGGTGTTACGTATAAATGATGAATCACTAAATTCTCTTGAAATCAATATTATGCTATATGTTAACTAATTAGAATTTAAATAAAAATTTGAAAAAGAAAAAAGGTGCCTGGGTGGCTCAGTCGTTAAGCGTCTGCCTTCAGCTCAGGTCATGATCCCAGGGTCCTGGGATCCAGCCCCGCATCTGACTCCCTGCTCAGTGGGAAGCCTGGTTCTCCCTCTCCCACTCTCCCTTCTTCTGTTCCCTCTCTCGCTGTGTCTCTCTCTGTCAAATAAATAAAATCTTTAAAAAAAAAAAAAAGATCCACATTGAAAACAAAAGTCTTTTGATTCTTATTGGTCATTTATATTTCCATGCTTTTCTGATTCACAATATGAAATTTCATACTTCAGTAGTAAATCAATAGCCATCCCTTTGGTTCTTCATCATAGCACCTATACTTTTTTTTTTTTTTTTTTAAGGTTTGTTCATTTATTTGAGAGTGAGAGAGAAAGCATATGAAAGCGGGGAGGGGCAGAGGGAGAGACAGAATCTCAAGCAGACTGCGCTGAGCACAGAGCCTAACATGGGGCTTGATCTCATAACCCCAAGATCCATGACCCGAGCTGACGTGAAGAGTTGGAGGCTTAACTCACTGAACCACCTAAGCACCCCTGTGCTTTTTTTTTTTTTTTTTAAAGATATTCCATGTCATCTTTAATTGAATTCACTCATATGGTTCCCAGATATATTAAGGTGTGAGTAGGTCTTTTATGTTTTGGTTAAACCAATAAAGAAAAATTAAACTTAGTTTTTAAAGTAATTAAACTTAGTTTTCTACTTGATATGTATGACAACTAGTACTTGATTATTGGAACTAATGGTGGTAGAGATGGAAGAATTAATTCATATTTAACTTAGGCAATGTATGTGCTATTTCTGTAATACACTAAGGACTTAAAGGAAGTGTTTAATTTAGTAAAATCCCTTCTGTTTTTCACTTAACTTTGTACTCTAATTGTGTTTGGTATTATATCAAGTTCTAGTCATTTCAAGTTGGTTAGCGCTAGCTGATGATGATGTACCCAGAAGTATATATGTGAATAGTAGAAGTATGTGCTCCTCCTGAGATGATGTTTCTTATTGATAGTAGATCATAGGTGATAACTGTCACAGTGTCTTGGAGTTTTTGTATAGCTTTCTGGTAATATCTGGAACATATGTCCAGTCTCGATATAAGTTCCATTTCCTTCCTTCCTCAATTTGAAGTATCTAGCTGTCAGAATGGAAAGGAACTTGGGATATTATTATGAGATAAAAAAGGAGTATTTTTCAGCTTGGCTTTTGTTTTTTGTAGGGCTGGGGAGCTCTGGTACTACCAATTAAGTGATGCTTTGGGGACCCTTCCAGTATCTTCTCTCCATTTCGTTCTACCTTTTTCCTCTGATCTTGCAAGGTGGCACTACTGCCATTCCCTTGAGGCAAGCAGAAGCCAGTCATTGTGTGCTTCAGATAAGCTGCCTCTGTGCCTTGCCTTAAATTATAATGAGCGAATTCTCTGTCCTGAAATTTGTACCTTGGTGTTCTCTTGTTTATTTATTCAGCTTTATGATAGTATGGGAGACCTGGTTTTGGACAACCACTTAAAGCCACTCTGCCACTTTCTTAATCTGTAAAATGAGGATTTTACCCATCTTACATGTGGTGGTTGTGTGGAGGCAGAAATAAGATCTAAATGAGATAATGCATAAGAAAATACTTTGTAAACTATAAATAATGAAGGTGAAAATTATTTTCATTATTGTTTTTTTCCTTATCTTTGAGGCTAGATTTCTCTTCCTTACATACATTATCTGGTTGACAGATCAATGACAAGTCCCCTTGTCATTTATTCTTTCAACAAATAATTGTTGAACATCTATTAAGTAAAATGCAGTATGCTAAATACTAATGATCTAAGATAAACAAATCTTCTCTTTGCCATTTGCAACCTGGCCCTGACAGTGAAAGTATCTCGACCTGTTTTCTAAAAGCCGAGGCCCCTATGGGTAAGAATAGGTCGGTCATGCTTTCAGATTTTAAGTTTAGCTCTAGTATAATTTACCTCAGTCATTAATTACTTCTTAAGTACCATGTTTAGAAATAGTCAGCTGAGAATGTCATTTTAGGTTTGCTGTCCTATTTTGGCTGTTTATATTCTTGACCTCTAAGTGATTCAGCTAGATTATCACTTATTTGCCATTAGAACAAATTGTTCTGTCTTTGGAATAACCCTGTTTTCTTAGACATAAGTTATTTCTCAGCAGAGGTGACATCTGTGCACACCCACTTAGCCATGAGGCCACCTATGTCACTTTTTAACCTGACTCGGAAGGATTGGGCCTCTTTTGCAATTCCAGTCTTCTCCAGTTTCCCTTCCTTGACAGCACGTAGACCATCAGCTCTGGGCTCTGTGCCCTGGAAAGCCTCCAGAAACATTCTAGAAAGGGCAAGAGTGCCACCTACTGTTACTTTTTTCAGCTATCATAGGCTGGTAAAATTTTCATTTGAAGTTATTAAGACAGATGGTTTATTTAAAGTAGAAAAAAGCCATGTAGACTTGATGGTACTCAAGGCAGCCACCAAATAACTATAAACTATACCTTTCTATCCATCTACACACACACACACACACACACACACACACACACACACACACACACACTACTCAAGGCAACCACCAAATAACTATAAACTATACCTTTCTGTCCATACACACACACACACACACACACACACACACACACACACACGCTGTCTGTCTGTCTGTCTGTCTGTCTCTCTCTCTCATTATACCAGGGAATCAAGGCAACCACCAAGTAACTATAAACTATACCTTTCTATCCATCCAAACACACACACCCTCTGTACCAGGGAGGAATATTATCTTTGCAGAATGCCCCTCACATTTATTGACTTAGAAAAATAATTGTGGAAACAGTCTTCACTCTGTTAAAAATAAATGATCATGTCATAACATTAAAAAAACTTTGAAAAGGAGAAAAAAAAACCTTTTTACACAATATACTTTTTAAAAATGTCTGCTACTTTCTAGACCGCTTATGTATGTATTCATGATTTTAACGTAATTTACCACCACTTTTTCCCCCTTAATGTTTTATCCTGTTAGGAAGAAAGAGAAAATCCTTTTCATGTGCCACTGGTTAAGCTAATGACTAAGTGATTCATTTGTGCTGACATATAAAATAATCTTCATTTCTACAAGTAAAGTTATATACAGGTGGGTATTAAAAAAATGAATAAAAACATAATTTTGTTTTAACAGGTATATAATCTGTCTCAGAATATTCAAGAAGATGATCTTCAACACTTGCAAGTATGTATTTCTCAAAGAATATGTGTCAAAGAATGGAAAATATAATTCTAACTTAATTGTGACTTTCCATCTAGAAGCCTATTACAGTGTAAGAAAATTCAGTATTATACAGTTTTAAACTGATACATAACTTCTTAACGAGAAGAAGTTTTAAGGTATACCCAGTCTGTTAGAAAATTAAATGCTTGACTTTCAAATGATTTTAAAGGCTCTGATGTCTATCTCATCTGACATAGAATGGCTTTACAGTGTCTTCTTTGAATCTCTTTGGGGGCATTAATTTAAATAACTTGCTTTAATAGTTATTTACAGAGTACGGCAGACTTGCAATGGAAGAAATCTACCAGAAACCATTTCAGGTAAATAAGTATTTTGTCATTTTTAAAAACTCATGTATAAAAAGCCATCAAGCCACCTTAATCTTTTAAGTTTGAAGGTAAGAGGATATTACAACAAACTCATTTTTAGCAACAGATTCAGTGGAGTTGAAACTTAGGTCATTACCACCTTAATAGTAGGCTAACAGTAGGAAAGAGAACAAATGATACAGTTAGATTGCTAATACTTAGATTGAGAGGTTAATATTTCTCTTAATTAGATGTTATTTCCTAGACTTGAGACAGTCATGTAAATTTCTTTTGTACATAGGAAACTATTACAAAATATTAGGTTTTTTTTTTTTGTGGTATATTGCAAGTTGAGGTTAGTCCTGTTATTCTTTGTTTGGTTTCATACAGAAAAGTTTCACAATTTATTACATCTCTCCTCTCCTTCTACCCCCTCAATCCCCATATGTTTTTTATTCCTTTTAAATGCCAGGTACAGAATATTAAGTCAGAAATAAACCTGGGTGGAGTTATGTGAGAAGCATATGCTTTGCTTGCTTCTGTGGAGTCCTGTTGTGACAGAGATTTAAATTAAAAAAAAAAAAAAGCTAATTTCAGATAGTTTTTTTTTTAAAGTAAGGGTAATTTATAAGTTGGCATTATAAGTTGACCATTTAGTCAGATGTGTTACAGTAGGTGAGAATGACTCCACCCTGTTCGCTCATCAATATGTCCAGTCCTTTCTTTCTGTGTGACAGCATTGCTAGTGATTCTTAGTATGGGTGGGTTTACATTGATTGTCTCAGACTTATGTGGCTCAAGTGATCACTTTTTTGAGATATCAGGCAGGTTATGGCTTTATTTTGTATATATGGTTGAAATATACTCTATTTGGCCTACATCAGTTTTTCTGAACTGGGTTAATTTTGTCACTTGGGACATTTGCAAGTGTCTGGAGACATTTTTGGTTGTCACAGTTTTGGAGGGAGGTTAATGCTGCTGGTGTAGTGCATGGAGGCCAGAAATGCTGTTCATCCAGCCACGCACAACTAAGAATTGTCTGGTTCAAAATATCAGTAAGGCTGAGATTGAGAAACCTAAGCATATATAAATTAAAAATTCAGTGAAGAGAATCAGTTGGTATAGAATTAGATTAGTTGGTCTTTTAGCTATACAACCTTGACTTAAAATTATGATCTATATGCCCTGATATGCCTTTTGTTCATTTTTTTAAGACCCTGTATTATTGCCTGTGGTGACTCTTTCTTCATATACCGTGAAGTTCTCAAACGGAAGCAATTGCTTGGTGTAGGGGCTGGGAGTGTTGTAGCCTTAAGTAGGATCTTGCTAAAACTATGAGCAGTATTGACCATTTGTTACTATAACTTTTGATAAGGATTGTTTAAGGGAGTGCATGATTGTTAAATTGTTAAAGTAGTGATTTTTTTTTTTAAATAAAACTTTGTAAGAAATGATTTCTACTTTTTTCTGTCTGTAGACATTAATGTTTTTAATTCGGGATTGGAGTTATCCTTATGAACATTCATATGGTTTGGAAGGTGGAAAACAATTCCTTGAAAAGAGATTGCAGGTAAGCCCCATTTCCTAGTGAGGAGAGCATAAGCACCAAGCCAGATGAAGGAGTGGGCTGTCTGGACTGCTGCTTACTTTTCCAGTCTCTTAAGTGTCGCCACCATAAATTGCACATCCCAAGTTAGCCCAGGTTCTCCATACAGAATTGATGAAAAGTAAATTGGTTGTATTCTTGCCAAAGAGGCCAGTGCCCTTGAATAGAAATTAAGGAACAAGTATTTCTCTTTAGAAGCAACTATAAATCAAATTCAAAGGATGAAAGTTCGAAGGAGACTAACTTTTTTGATCTACTTGCATGTGTGTCTCTTTCTGGCCAACTGACCTTTCGAACATTTGGGACAGACTGGATAATATAATGTGCATACATTGAACACAGATGATGTGAGACCCTCTCTCCAAAGAATACTGTCTCCTAGAGTGACAGCATACAGAGATAGAAAAGGGATCTTAAACATCATCTAACTCAGCTTTCTTTTTAAAATATATAATGTAACTGAACCCAGAAAAGTGACTTGCCTTTGGTCTCTTAACTGTTGGTAACTGGGACTAGGCCCCAAATATCCAGATTCCTGGCCCATGTAACATGCGACGCTAAAGCATTCCTAGAAAATAACCTCACCAACATGATCCTTTGTTCCTAAACGTACCCTCCCATGGAAGTACTTGGGGAAACCCTCAGGTCAGATACACCCATCTACTCTCATACATAAAAGTTATGTGAAAATCCCTTAATTCATAAGTAGTAGGGTCCTCTCTTTTGGTTAATAAAATTTTGCCTATAGGATGATACATGTAGTTTTTCAACCACATTCAAAAACTTGGGGTATAATTTTCTTATTACTAAAAGAAGATTAAAACCAATTCCTCATTCTTGGATATTTGAAAGGCATTTCCAGACCCTATTGTCAGAGATAATTGCAGTCATCAGAGTTTTCTCTGTTTTTTTCAGAAAAAATGAACACAAAGCATATCAGGCATACTAACTAAACTCAGAATTATGTACTTCAAAGACAAGATTTTTATCTTACTAAAGTGATACAGGAAAGTGCTCAAGTCATTAAGTGTGCAGCTTGATGAGTTTATACAAATGAACATAGCCATGTAATAGCACCCAGAAGCACCCAACCTCCATCCGCTACCCCCTAAACCCTCCACTACTCTCCTGATGTCTAACAGGCCTTGTGTGTACTTTTTATGAAAGGAATCACATACAACATGTGTTCTTTGTGTCTAGCTTCTTGCTCAGTATTATGTTTCTGAGATACTGTTACATGTAGTTTAATTCATTTATTCTCATTGCTATGCAGTATTCCATTGTATGAATAGACAGCAGTTTCTTCATTCTATTCTTGATGGAGATTTAGGTAGTTTCCAGGTTTTGTTGATTATAAATGGTGCATGTTTTTTTAAAAATGGTGTTTGAGAAGAGTCTTTGAGAACGTATGTAAGTTATCCTGGGATAAGCGTATGTGAGTTACACTGGGATAAGTAGTTATTAAAAAAAATCTAAGTTTAAGATTTTCTTCCAGAAAATAGCAGTCTCTCTCCCCAAAACACTGATAACTAGCATAAATCATAAATAATTATTTGGGGTAAGTACTGAAATCGCAACAAGTTTCAGAAGTCCTTTGGACTGCACTGGAGCTTTTTCAGTTTAGCTGTTATTTTGCTCAGGGGCTGACCTTTTTATTTGTGAGCAAATTAGTACTTTGTTTTTCTCTTTGCCGTTATAAGTACTTGAAAGGCAATTTCTTTATTTACTGGTTTGTAAACCACAGCCACTACTTGTTAGTCTGGTGTGGGATATTATGAGTAATTATTATTTGTATTTTTTCATTTGTTGGCAGCTAACATGGGAAAAAACATCTTTTCTAGTTCTAACACAAGGTGGGGTCTTACCAAAGTGGTCAGAAATGGGTCTTTAGTAAAATTTGTTGTTGTCAGAAACCCATCTGGAGTAGCATCTGAGTTAAATGTGCACACTTGTGAGTATGGGTGTATATTTTCTTTAAAACTTTTTTTTTCCTGTTTGCACCTTCACCCTGTCTCCTTCTACCCTCAGGTAAAACAAAATCAACATGAAGAGCTACAGAATGTAAGGAAGCACATTCACAATTGTTTCTCAAATCTTGGTTGCTTCCTTTTGCCACATCCTGGTCTTAAAGTTGCAACTAATCCTAGTTTTGATGGGAGATTGAAAGGTGGGAATTCCCATTCTTGCTAAAATCAGAACTTACTTTTTAGAGGCTGAGAGTTTAAAAAAAAAATACATGGTTCCTTAAATTTTCTGTCTTATACTGGAAGACATTTTGATGCATTGGTTAATGAGGTGATTTTAATGCTCTGTGTGGTCTGTCTAGCTTTCCATTGGTTTGTCCTTGACTATCTAGTGTATGGATTAGCATATTTTATTATGTGGTCTATTGCTCAGCTCCGGTGTCCTATAAATTCCGAAGGCTGAGAACATTTCAGTATTTCATCTGTTTGCAGTCTTTAAAATGTTTTACCAATATATCATATTCATGTAATCAGATTTAAGTTTCTGTTTTAGGGATGATAAAAATTTTTGAGTATATTTTAGGATTGGATTGGAGCATGATGGCAAAAGGCTGGAGGAATAATGAAAGTTTTACAGTATAGCTCGAAAAATAAAATCTAATATTAAAATTTAGTACAATTTCATGAATTGTTTGCCTTTTGAAAAGGATATGGAATTTATTTCGGTAGTCCACAACTTATTATTTGAGCTTAAAGAATTATTGGGGGATGAGGGAAATGGAGTAGCAGAGTAAGGGGAGAGTGTATTTTTTTCTAGGAGATACGATGTGTTTGGATCCGTTCTTTTAAATTAATCTACTTAAGTAACAGACACTGTATATTGTTGTTTCATGAAACAGAATTTTATGAACGCGGACCAGTGGGGACTCCTTTAATCTTTCTTTTTTTGACTAAGATGTTGCCTTTTATCTCATTGGTCCGTTAGATATTGATGAAGACTTTAAACGAGAGCTTCGAAACCTGGTTCCATTGCTGCTTGCACCTGAGAATTTGGTAGAAAAAGAGATAAGTGGATCTAAAGTCACTTGTAGAGATCTTGTAGAATACTTTAAGGTAGGGAAACTGCCACATTAAATGACTTTTGTCTCAGAAATATAGCTGACTTAAAACTCATATGTATGTTCATATGTATGTTTATAAAGCAGAAAAGTGAAATTTATAGTTTTTGTTTTGAATTGGCTAGATCAATTTTTAAGGATATTTAAAATAATAGTAGACAACTCATATCTCTTAGACAGTGATTTTGCTTGTTTATGGAGTTACCTACTTTTTCTCCAGCTCTGATACAGAGAGGAGACCATTCAATATAATTGTCATACCACTCTCACTTGTGAATGATGATAGATATTGGGAGTGCAGTTCTGCATCTTGAGTTCTTATAAAAGCCTTCTCTCTGAGTTCTTGAGGACTTGATAAGAGCTTGATGGTCATTTTCATATTTTTGTTTAGTTACGAATTTAGAGGCAGTAAAAAGTTGAGATGAACAGTTCCTATATGAACTAATTAATCCTTCTTACTCTTAAAGCATAAATTAGGTAATTTTTTTTCTTGAACTGAAATATAATTTAACTTGGTCAAAGTGAAATACTGAGTAAAAATGTTTTCTAACATTTAAAACAATGGCAGGAGGGGAGAATTAGGGATTTCTTTTCATTGTATATAACTTTTAAATATGAGATAACTTGTATGTAAGTTATAATTAGAAACATTAGGGTATAATTTAGCAAGGTTTTTTTTTGCAACATGTGTTTTTAATAAAGTTGAGAATAGGGTTAACTTTTTGGATATGAGAGTGTATGATTTTTAAGCCTTCATTTTCCTTTTATTTATTTTTTTCAATTTTTTTATTTAGAATTTTTTTTGAGACTTTTAAAAGTATGAATTATTTTTATATTTAATGGTTTTTCTTCTGTAGAGCCAAGTTGTTTAACCTGCCAGTATAATGTCTTTTTATTTTTAGGCTTACATTAAAATTTATCAAGGAGAGGAACTTCCACATCCAAAGTCCATGCTTCAGGTAGTGTGTGTGTTATACATATATTTATTTATGAAGGAGAAAAGTCTTTGGTTTAGAGAGCTGGAAATGGAATCATACTTCTTTGCATACAAATAAATTTCAAATACTTAAGGCAGTACACGTCTTGGGCCCTGAAGTTTTTATATGATTGCAGACCTTGCACACACATAGGCCATCAGAAATTAGAGTTTTCAGTACCTTCTCTTTAGTTGCTGGAAAAGTGTAGAAAAATTTCTTTTGCAGGAGATGGCATAAAATGGGCCTGTCTAAACCAAATTTCTTCTGTACTCTGAGTCTTTGACAGTGAATGTTTGAAATAAGGCTCATTTTTCCTCTTGATATTAAGGATTTAGAGCTGCTTCTAGTGCATATAGGTTTTTTCCTTTTTTTTTTTTTTTTTTTCAAAAGGTGTCTTTTGGGGGCTCCTGGATGTCTCAGTAGGTTAAGCCTCTGCCTTTGGCTCAGGTTGTGATCCTTGGGTCCTGGGATCGAGCCCCACGTGGGCTCCCTGCTTAGTGGGGAGCCTGCTTCTCCCTCTACTGCTCCCCCTGCTTGTTTGCTCGCTCTTTCTCTCTCTCTGTCAAATAAATAAATAAAATCTTGGGGGGGAAAAGGTGTTCTTTTGGGACAGTGTTATTTTAACCTAGTTCATTTTTTTTTTTTTTTAAGATTGTATTTATTGATAGAGGGAGATCATGACCTGAGCCAAAGGCAGACATTTAACTGACTGAGCCACCCAGGTGCCCCAACCTAGTTCATTTTTTTAAAAAAAGATAAAACAGTTTAATTAAGAAATGAAGAATAATTAATGTTACATTCATGTCAATCTGTTCTTAGTAAATTTTATGTCATTGCGTTCATACTGTCAATTTTTCACTCAAATTTGTTTAATTTTTTCAGATACATATCTAGTTCATATTTTTAAAGATTTGCTATTTTGGGCAGTTTCTCAGTTTCATAGTAGATTAAACAGTATTTTCTTCTAAAACTCCTGCAGTAAGCAGTTCTGTGGATTTAAAGTCTCTTGTGTAATACTGATGTGAGAGATCAAGCATATCTGTAATTCTTGGTTCTGGAGGCTTGACAAGTTTAGGGTTGTGTCTTATTTCTCTGTTATTTACTGAGCATGTGTGGTGTTTTGTACAAACTCATTTTTTTTAAAGACTTATTCTAGAGAGAGAGAGAGAGAGAGAGAGAGAGCACAAGCGGGAGGGGCAGGGAGGGAGAGGGAGAGAGAATATCAGACACTGCGCTGAGCACAGAGCCTAACACGGGGCTTGATCTCATGACCCTGACTGAGATCATGATCTGAGCTGAAACCAAGAGTCAGACACCTAACCGACTGAGCCACCCAGACACCCCTACGCCCATTTTAATAAACCTACGCGGAACAAAATTAGGAGGTCTTATTAGAAGCAATTATTTTATCTTTTACACTGGTGTTTCCTTCCATTGGAAAGGAAAACTGGAAGTTGATAATGTTTTCTCTGGTTCATTTTCAGGCTGTTCACTGTATCTAATTTATTGTGTTAATCAGAATTTATAGAGCCACTGAGTATCTTTTGCATAAAATTGGCACATTTTATTTTTTTAGGCAACAGCTGAAGCTAATAATCTTGCTGCAGTAGCAGGAGCAAGAGAGATCTATTGCAAAAGTATGGAGCAGGTTTGTAACCAACATTTAAATTTGACGCTAGTTAGAGTGAGAGAGAGGATTTTTACATTTAAAATAATTGAACTAATTTGCGCTCCTTATGCATTGTCAGGTTACATCATTCCCTGATTCCCTTTTATCATCTCTGCTGGGAATAAACTAAGAAAATAATTCACATGGTTAGAGTGCAGGATACAGGTGGCAGGTTATTACACAAATCGCACTAAAATAGTTTTGACCCGTGATTCAGAGTGCTCTTATTAGTAGCTTCTGATGTAATACTAGTTTAAGGCCAATAGCAACTTACGTGCTAACCTTGCTAACTCGAACATTAAAGTACCTTTTTTCTGTGTTCTCTTTTACCCACTTTCTGCCAGCAGTCTTTTTGTATTCTAATGGTGTGTTGGTGGGTCAAGTGGAGTCAGGTACAGATTGCAGTGTAATTGTTTTTGTCTTTACTGGTATTAGTCATACTTGGAAGATTTATTTTGCCTGAGTCAGTTAAACATATAAGAAATAAGTTATGATTATGTGTGAGGTATTATGAACAAGTTTAAAACTCAACTGTGTAGGTGGCTTGGCTTTTTGAGATTAAAAACTGTGAGCAGGGAGCTGCTTCTTTCTAGTGTGAATTATTTCTAGCCTGTAATGTGTCCTTCTATAATCCTGTCTGGACAGGTATGTGGTGGGGACAAGCCTTACATTGCACCTTCAGATCTGGAGCGAAAACACCTGGATCTCAAGGAAGTGGCGATTAAACAGTTTCGTTCAGTAAAAAAAATGGGTGGAGATGAATTCTGCCATCGTTATCAGGACCAGCTTGAAGCTGAAATTGAAGAAACCTATGCAAATTTTATAAAGCACAATGATGGCAAAAATATCTTCTATGCTGCTCGTACTCCTGCCACACTGTTTGCAGTCATGTTTGCTATGTATATAATCTCAGGACTGACTGGCTTCATTGGCCTAAACTCTATAGCCGTCTTGTGTAACCTTATCATGGGGTTAGCACTGACATCTCTTTGTACTTGGGCATATGTAAAATACTCTGGGGAGTTCAGAGAAATTGGAACAATGATTGATCAGATTGCTGAAACACTATGGGAACAGGTTGGTATCTATCTTTTGGTTTTTCAGTGACTAATTTCATCCCTGTGACACTTCCCCACCCTTCTCCTGCAGTATTTGCAGACACCTACTTTTCCTTTATATGAGGAATGTCAAAGGATGTTTTCTGTTTTGTTTGGTTGTATAATCTGAATATCAATTATGAACCAGAGAATTTTTTTCTTAATTATGAACCAGAGCATTTTTTTCTTAAAGTCGTAATTATAGTGTGCTTTGATGGGCTGAAATCTGTAATATCCTTTCGATAGATTCTTAGTCATAGGCCTGATGATGCCAGACCATGGGCAGGGCCAGAGTCTCTAAGGATTTTTTTCTTAGGGGAAAGAAAATATAGTCAGTGTAAGGAAAAGAAATTTGGAAGTGCAGTGCTTTAGGAAAGCAAAAGAAGTTGCGTAGTAATACTGGCAAAAAGCAATGCGTGCTTAATATTTGAGGAAAAATATTGGGTGGCATTCAGGTCTTTGTTGCCTTCCGTGAAGATAGTGGTGATTTACTGATGCACAACAAGGAACGACCCTGTAGGGATTTCTTGCACCAAAGGAATTTTGTTTGACCTCTGTACTGTGGAAACACTAATGAACAAAGCAAAGTGCTACAAAGAGAACCAGCTTCACTTAATCATAATCATTTACCTCAACCAGAATTCAAATCATAATCTTTTACCTCAAACCAGAATTCAGAGTCGGGCCTGACAAGAATCTTCTAAGGAAAACCATGTTGTATATTGGCCAACTGTGTGCTGGAATTGCTTGTGTTCAGAAAATTCCATTTAAGGATGCTGTCATTAAAATGATCATCGTGAAATACTTGAGCATCATGTCGAGGATCAGAATGAAAGCGGCAGATATTATTGATGGACAGTATAATAGGCATTTTCAGATATCTTTTCTGGGCTGATGGAAGTGTTGGGCTTATTTGAAGATCTAGGGTATGCAGGTTCATGTTGATTTTGGCTTTAAATTTAAAGACTGAAGAAGTGAATCGTTTTTTGAGGAAGGTTGATTGGGTATTGACTTTTCTTGTAATAATGTCATTATTATTTTATAAAGTGACCGACTATATTAATTTGGATTTTGTATTTATTCTTCAGAGAAATGCTCGATTTATTTGGATCTGATTTGGAAGCTTGTGTTTGGATATTTGTTAAATTTAACTCTTTATCTCAAAAAAATCTCTCTCTTCATATTCCTTTGATATCTTCTAATAGAGGATGGACAAAAAGCTATCAACGATCTCACTTTAAAAAAAAATTATCTAAAATTTTGGACCATTACTCATTTTCTGCAGCATGAATTTTAATCATTGTACAGTGTCTTACTTTGAAAACCAGTCATTCTCCTATATAGTATTGATTCTAGGACTTTAGAAGTATCATTATTATAAAACAATTAAATGGAAGAATCTAAAGTGTGTAAAATTATTTCCATTGTAGTTAAGGTAAGTTGATCACTAGTCAGAGAAGATCTGTGCTGTGTCAACAAACCTTGCCTAAATTGTCTTGCATTTCTCTTTTCTTTTGCTTCAGAGGAGTCCCAGGAAGGTGAGAAACCCACAAAGTCCCAGATTCTTGTAGTCTTAAACTCTTTAACTTCAAGGCGCTCTGAGTCACTGTCCTAACGAATCACTCCATGTTTTAGGTGTTTTCCAAACTGTTTGAAGTTACTAGACGTCGAATGGTCCATCGTGCTCTTTCATCAGCACAGCAACAGAGACTGTCATCCAACAATAACAAGAAGAAAAACTAGACAGTATTTTTAACTTTTTTCTCTATCTGAAGTGTTCCCACTTATACATGTAGGACAATAAGCAGGACCGCCTGGGCCGGTCTGCATAAATGCTGTATACTTAACCAGATTTGATGCTGCATATAGGGTATGGAATTGCACATCCGTCTCCTAGGAATTGTTAATGGTTTGAATAGGACGAAAGTAGTTTATGTTGCATTATCAAGTGTCTAACTGCGTTATTTGTAGCATCATAACTTTCTTTGGGAGAAGCATCTTTTTATTTCCCACATTCCTGGTTATTTTCTTCATTGCTTTGAATTGAATTTTTATATCTATTTTTATATGTAACTCTTTTTTTACCTCATGTTTTTATTTGTTTTGCACATTTCTCATACCACAGGTATTGAAGCCTCTGGGTGATAATTTGATGGAGGAAAACATAAGGCAGTCTGTAACAAACTCTATCAAAGCAGGCCTGACTGACCAGGTGTCTCATCATGCCAGATTAAAGACAGACTGACAGTTCATCTCCTCATGGACTCCACTCTCCATTTTTTTCATGCTTGCTGTACAATGAGAACTCAAATAAAAATAAACCAAAGTTTACAATCAACTGTAGAAGTAGTTTAGTATAACTGGCTTCACAGATGGCTGCCACAGAGTGTGAAAATTGTTTGTTGGTTTTAAACATTCTGTTCTTGGCTCCTAAGACATGGAGATTGGCTGAGGAGCATTAGTTTATCATGCACATTTGTGCCATGTTTCTTTTATTTTTTTTTCCTTTTAATCTAATGTTGGTGAAATTTGTCTTGTGTACAAGGATATTTCAGGGAAATATTTTAAGAAGTCTATTTAGAGTCTCTTTAACACCAGTGTCCCATTGAAATTTTAATTTTTAGTGAAGTTATGAATCACTGTATCAAGAATCAGATCAGAATGACAATGAAGCCTTTATTGAGCCACTACATTAAAAGTATATATTGCTTTACTGCCTTCAATACCAGTATTACATAAGTGCATGTATCAGAAATTTCCCAGAAATTACACAACAACTCTTGTAGCTAAGAAAGTGATTCTGAGGTGTACATTTGTCTTGCCTTTTTAAATTTATAAACCTGCCCTAAAAGGAGATGCATATCTGGGAAACTGAACTGTCTTTATGCAGTTTAGCCTTCATGTACATAAAATATGCCATTAATTTTATTGGGGGAGAAATTCCATCCAAAAATGTTGCCTACAGCTATGAGTTAAGAGTGTCTGTACAGTGTGTAGCTTTTATTTTCTAAAATCACAGATAGGGCATGTATATGAATTATAAATATATAAATACGATTTTGTATTAAAAGTTTTGTAGTTTATGGCAAAATCTGGTTCTGTGGTAGGCTAAGTACAGTCCCTGTGAAGGAATGTTTGTGGCTCATGTCAGTGTGTGAATGCATAGACAATTTGAAGTTTTTGATATATTTGTGATATTTATCTTCTTTGAGCACTGCAATCTCGCCTCCCCCCCCAAGGGAATTCAATGGGAATGTTTATCGTGACTTTGTCCTCTGTTGCATTTTAAAGTTATTTCCTGTAATTTATTTTCAGTACATAATTAAAAATTTGTTGTATATATAAAATGAAACTTGTGATTCTTTTTTAAGGAATCCCTCAAGTATGTATTCCATTACATAAACCATGTTTGTTTATACTGAAAAGAGCATGAGCAGGAAAACACCCAAGTGAGAGCTCTAAGGTATTGTACCCAAAGCTAAGCTTGTAAAAATTATTTTTCTTTGTCTGTCTCTGTTAGGGAAAACTTGTGATTAGCCTAGGTGTAGCTGGGGATTTGTTAATTTTTCTCCCTCTTTCTCTCGCCTTTTTTTTTTTTTGTGGTATATGTAAGGCTAACATTTTTGCAATATTTTTGTAGCCTTCTTTATAAACACCTATTATTAAAGCACCTAGTTTGGTTTTTAAGTGAAGAAAATTCAGATGTTGAGTTGCATGCCTGAAAGCTCTAAATTTACTTTGGTTGATATAATCTCCTCCCCTCCTCCTTTCAAATCCTGTTTTTATATGGATTATATTGTTTCCATCTGTATTAAATTGCTACCAACTCATCTGTTCTTAAAACATAAAGAAACCACTTGAAAAGTCTTTTTATTTCTTCTACCACCCTGTTTTATGAATGCTGTGGACTGTTTTTATGAATGAAAAAATAAAAAGTTTGTTGTATAATAGCAATTCTTCTGCATTTAAAGACACAGAGCTTACCTTTTAAAACAAAACAAAACAAAAGAGTTGTGAAATCTAGACCATGGATTTGGTAGTATTTCTTGTTGGAGAATGTGTTTTCCACAAAGAAGGTAAAATTCTATAAAGAATTCCAAGAAAAAAACAATTTGGTTTCAGCTGGAAGACTGTGAAAGTAACAGTTAAGTAAGAAGCAATATTCAACACTGTTGACTGATCGAACTTTGGTGTTAGTATATTTTCTGTGGTACAATTTTATAGTAACCCATATAATATGGAAGGTTTTTTAAAAGAAATATTAGTGATTTATCTTCCTAATTAAGACACAAATAATTTACTTTTGTGGAAGGGACAATGACGACCCTGCTGAGTCATATATATATATAATTTTTTTTGAGAGTGAGCAAGTGTAGGGGTGGGGTGGGGGTAGAGGTGGAAGGGGAGAGAGAGAGAATCCCAAGCAGGCTTCATGCTCAGTGAGACCAATGTGGAGCTTGATCTCACGACCCCAAGATCATGACCTCAGCCAAAATCAAGAGTGGGATGCTTGGGCGCCTGGGTGGCTCAGTCAGTTAAGCATCTGCCTTTGGCTCAGGTCATGATCTCGGGGTCCTAGGATTGAGGCCTGCATCAGGCTCCCCGCAGGGAGCCCACTTCTCCCTCTCCTCCCTGCTCGTGCTCTATCTCTGTCTTGCTAATATTTTTTTTAAAGATTTTTTTAAATCTTTAAAAAAAAGTGGGATGCTTAACTGAGCCATCCAGGCGCCCCTGTCTTAATATATTTCTCATGAAGATAGCTAGTCCTCCTCACTTCTTGAACTTACTCTACTTCTAGTATTGAAGAGCAGTATTTTACTTGTGAGGGTTATATTTTCAGAGAACTCTGACCTGGACTTGGCTTTAGTTATTTCCAGAATTAGACAGACTAGGACCTTCATCCTTGCTGAAGGTGTGAGTGCTGTTGGTGTTAGTTAACGTTGTTTCATTATTTGGGATTAAAAAAGTGTGGTCTTGTCTCGGTTAAGAACCTATTAAATACACCACAAAATTTCAGTAACTAATGTGACTGCTGTTAGTGGTGCACTATATAAATATTCAAAGTGGCCTTTCACAAAGTCTTTGTAAGCACTTGCTTAGCCTTTTAACTAGGGAATTGGCTTTTTGATTAGCTGCTCTATGCTTGTGGAGGTTGCTTGGGTCTGTTCTCCACACTGTTAGTATTTATTCGTGGTTGAATTCCCAAACTTGGATCAGAATCAACCTGTGCACCTGTTTTCCCTTTGCTGTCATAGCTGTGGGATGATGATAAAAAGCCAGCCTGGAGAGCGGTCGGCTGTGCTTCTGGCAGCTATCTCCTCATGGCCAGTGTTTACTAACCTTACAGGGTTTACTAACCAAATGACTTTCTTGGATTCCGTTAGGAGCCTCTGTCACGGAACTTAACTTTAGGGAATCTTCCAGGAGGTCTCCTGGGCAAACAGCTGAATTAGGGCTTTTCCAAGGAGAACAGAGACTTGTTACTTTATCTACCCAAGTCTTAGATCCTAGGGATTTTTTCTTCAGATTTGGGGTTTGCTGGAGTTTAGGTTGAGGAATTGATCTACCCTTGACATCCTTCAGTGCAATACAACTCCTGTATGTTCTTTTAGATTTGTGACTTTCTGGGCTCTTTGGAGCCAAACCTAGCAGTTGACCAGGTCAGAAGTGCCTCAAGTATGTACAAAAAGGTTGAGAAGAGGGAATCACAGCCTTGTATAGCCCAGGAAAGCACTTCCACCTATATCGGCACTTTTCATAACAATAGTCCTGGGAAGTTGGTAGGAAAAGCACGTTATCAAAGAAAGCATCCAGGGTACCTCAGGCTTGCAAACGGGGATGCTACTACACACCTCCGGGGGTTTCAATCAGTATGAAGTTTCAGACACAGACAAGTAATGTTCCTACTCACTATGAAAGCTCTGTCTTGGCATTCTGTAAAGCACCAAAAGGCGGAGGAAACACGATTTTATTAATACTGAAACAAGGTGAAAATCACCCATAATACTACTCACACTAAACAAGAAACTCTCCTGTTGTCTTGATTGTGCATCTCACAGGTAACCATTATTTGGTGTGCTGTTGAAATTGCTCCTGTGCTTATTGACATGTCTGTGTATGCATAAAACACTCCTAATTTTTATTTTACCCAAAACAATTATCTTGTGTGTGATTTCCCCACCCCACCCCACCCCCACGTAACAGACATTTTCCTAGGCCACTGAGTAATTCTTTATGCTCATGTGACGGCTTTGATTCTTCTGAGGGTAAATGGGGTTTTGGGGAGAGAACAATTAGACCTTGGATTGCTGCTTAATAGTTTTTTTCTTTTTTGAGTTTTTCATTACCACAGGATTGGTGAGAGAGTCAGATAATAAAATGTGAAGGGTATTTGGGAAGCAGGAATAGAAAATTTGCACTCTTTCCTGTTTTAATGCTCCGTGCACTGCCTTTATTTGGCCAGTACTCTGATAAATGGCTTCCTGAAGCATGTCCATCGCTAACTTGTTTGGGGGGTGGGGTGGGGATCATTTGAGCATTAGTTTAGACTTCCCAGTCACAAAATGTAAAGACTACCTAAAAACTTGGAAGCATACTTACATTTTAATTTCAGGAAAAGGAGATGGACCTTGGAGATAAAACTGAGCTTTGGTCCCAGCGCCACCCCTTCATGCTTTGTGAACTTGGGTAAACACTATGTGACAGCTTAGCCTCTGCTGCTTCATCTGTAAAATGGAGAGAATACCTCTATACCTCTCTCTCGGAAAAAAGGCATTATTTTACATGTTTGCAAATAGAACACTTAACTGGCTTAGCAGACAGCTGGATTCTCATTATCAGCTTCCACATTCATATGTTGCAATATGTTGTTTTGGTTGAAGTATATGAAGAAAATCTGGCCTCATACAGTTATGTAATTGGAAAAGGAGGATCTTCCCAGAATCCCAAAAATCTACTGGGGACTCCTAGGGGTCCTTGGATTACGTTTTGAAAACCACTGTCCTAGAGTAAGAAATCCTGCTGGCAGGCATGTTAAACAGTGCCCCTGTATGAATTTGAAAGGACAGGGTGTACTCAAGTTTGGGATGATTTTTCTTAATACTTCAAAGCCTGTGTTATGTTCCTGTCACCAGAAACAGATTGGGCCAGACAGACCAAATTCTCCTTGGAAATAGTAGGAATTTGGACTGATTATAAACCCATTTTTTTAAACAATCCACCACCACCAACCCCCTGACCAAAACAAAAGTCTTTTTTTCTATCAATGTAAACTGTGTGCAAGAAATTTTCAAAATAAAAAAAAAAATCACCCTTTAGTACTTTGAACTTGTCAGAGATGAACGCTGATACCTTTCTTAAAGGTCTTCCAGTCTGTTATCAGTGTTGGTGTGTAAAAGTCAGGGTCTCTCGATTTGATACCCTGCTATACATAGTGGTTTTTTTGAAACTGCATTTTCTATTTAATATATCCTGAATCTTTTTTCATGACAGTAAATCATATTCTAAGTTTTGTAAATGGCTGCATTTTATTTTGTTAATCTTTACTTTGACACTTTGACATTTTGTAACATTGCATCTTTGATATTTTCATATTTGCTGTGTTAATAATACAGCAATGGATGACTGTGCGCCTCTATTAATAACCAGGAGATTGGAACAAACTCCTGGAGGTAAAATCACTGCCCTCTAGGAGTCTAGTACCAAATTCTGTCTTCTCTAGCAGTACTTGAGAATACCGTCCCGCCACCAGCGCTTCTAGGACCAACCACATCATGCCTCACTACTCGTCACCCCCATTCAGCGTCAGAAAATGAAGTCATTTATCTCCACAGTGCTTCACATATCACTTGAGCCAGTGGTTCTCAACTCTATGTGTCAGGATCACCGCACCCCTGGAGATTGTGATCCAGGTGTTCTGGGCCCCCGCCTTAGTATCCTAAACATTCCCCAGATGGTTCTGTTGTGCAGGCAGGACTGAGAACCACTACCTACTCTTACTCCAACCTTAACCTTTCCCTGCCTTCCCGCCCCTTTGTACTCTCATAATCCACTGTTTGTTATTAGCGAATTTGCCCAAAAATCTGTGTGTTTTCATTTCTCTCCTGAACTGAAATCTGGTTTCCTTCTCCACTTTTCCACTTTCCCAGCTGAATGTCTCCTGTGCAGCCCACTCAAGGCTGGTTTTCCCCACACCCTGTATTCTTCAGGTACTAAAGGAGGGTTAGATGTCCTTGCGCTCCATTGCTGATTTCATTTTTTTTTCTTTTAGCAAACAGCTTTTTCAGAGTAGTCAGAATTTTCCACTCGTCACCCCAGTGTACTGTGGGCAATCTACTGACTTCCCCAC